ATAATGATTGTTAATTTTAGGGTCATTATTTGCTCTACAGTCAATATCTTATACCCCCGAAGGAGTGACATTGATTGATAGTATTTCTGAAAGATTCAAATAAATCGAACGGCCTTTTTTGCAGTGTAAGTAATTTGGTGATATTTGTTTTTGTAGTTGTACTTCATACTATTATACAATATTGCAGTCGGGAATAGTAGGAACTGTTGCACCTTTAAACACTTTGGTAACTATATCTGGAGTTTATTTAAAGACCCGATTGCTCTGGATATACATATTCTAATTTTTTTTCAATGTTGGGGAGTCCAGTAAGGGTTTCTTCAAACAAGGCACCTAAAAATTTGCCCGTTTTAAGAGCTCAATTTTTAATCCTTCAGAACAAATATTTCAGTCGTACGAAACTGGTTGATTCTTTGATCTAAAAATAATATATTTTGTTTTACTAGCATTTAGAAGCAATTGATTATGTGCACTTGAGTGCCCTCATAACATGCCCGCAAGCAAACGTAAACCGTGATATTTTTGTGTTGTAAAATGCCCGCAGCGATTGCCGCATCGTATGCGGCGAGCCTGCGTTCGGCATGGTGCAAAGGGCGGGAATATGTCGAAATTTTAATTCGCAATTACGACACTCCTACCATGAGTACGATTGTTGTTGGTGGGAAATCAAAATAAAATTGAGAACTCATAATTTTTAAGGTGCCTAGTTTAACACCTATAATTTTTTTATATTAAATTTCAGGGACCTCTTTAGCTTTCCTTTTAAGCAACTTGAGTGCTTCAACCCGCAGATTTCTTCACAAAATTGCATTAACTTGGGCTTCTTTTTCTATGTTGAGAGCACTGTAAAATATGAAAGTCCTAACACAGATGGGCGTATAGTTTCTATTTAAATTAATCAGTTGTCGCAATTACACTCTTTCTATAATCAAGTATCCACCACTTTATTTTTCAGTTTCCACATTATATTGTGTTTGTGCATGTGTCCCATGATAACCCATCCTTTCGTGTGACAAAAATGCTTGGCGCCTGAAACAAACTAGGGCTGGATAAGGGTGCGGTCTAAGGGCGCTGCAACCAGGGTCCTCTGACTCTCGGGTGACCTCAGGCTGAAGATCGCGGGGAAATATACTAATTCGAAATTATTGCGGCCTGAATATTGATGATGAAATTGGCAGGGTTGTGGAAGTTATTAGATTACTGCGTTGCCTTCGCCTTAAAATAGTAACTTACTTGATGTTTTAAGGAATGTGTCCCCTTACTAAGTGATAGCATTGCTAAAAGAATCGAATAAAGAAGATGAAAGTGTAAAAAATAGGAGGTAGCTTAGGCATCCCCAGATTTACGGTGTTGGTCAGTCACATCATCATTATAATCGTTGTCATTATCATCATTATCATTAAAGCTTTAGAATAAACCTGAGCCGAGGTCCCCGAAATTTATTCTTCCGGCTCTGAACCCACGTACAAAAGCCATAGAAGCAAAAACACTTTTTCGTTTCCCTAGAGAAACACGTCTTCCTTACAGTCATAAAAGAATAAATTAAACGGCAGTGTTGGGGAACAGTATACTATTGTGTGTTTATAAAATTCAAACCGGCTAACTTCTGCGACTTTTGTGAACCTCGTCTTTTCCCCCTTTTTAATTCAGCAGAGAGGTCAGCCGGGACAAATACCCCAGGGCGACTTCCTTGTCTCCAGCTGCTTCGATTTTCTTCCGATCTTACGCACACTGCAGGGCATTAGTATTTTTTTTAAGGTAGGCATGTACGGTGCAGAAAATAAAGTACTCCAGGAGTGTTTGTCCTCAACGACAAAGTGTTTAAAAGAGAAGTTCAGATTGGCATATATTTATTTTTAGGATAGAGATTCAATCACGATTGACGCCCTCTTCTTTTTTTTCGAATATCACCGGGGAAAAGAAGCTTCTGTTCAAACTCAGCCTTCGGGATATTGTAAGGTTTTGAAAGGTGCGGGTTTTGAGCTGCGGGTTCACAGACACCATTGAAATATCGCCGCACTCACCATAATTAGAATTATGCAAATACTTGACAGGCTACACTTACGCATCTTTTTTTTTTCTTAAAAAAAAAAAAAAAAGAGTGCTTAAACAGGGACTAAGAAAGCCCAGTTTATATTACTTTTGTTCGGGTCCAGTGTGGTGCAAAGGACCGCGAAATTTGAGCAATACCAGCCTCTATGCTTCTCAATCAAAGGGTCTAGTTTTTTTTAATAAGAATTTGTTTTTTATGGTGCAGTTCAGTACCAACTTAAATCAAATTCTCATATAAGAATAATAAAAAAAAAAATCCATGGAAGGCACATAACTTCAAACATCTTTTATATCTCAGGGACCGCCTCATAACGTAAAGAAGAGTTTTAATGCGCTGTAGATAAGATTACTCCAGTTCAAAACTTTCAGCCTTTCCTTTTTGGTGAAGGAAGAGCAGCGGAGCTGTACTATGTGCTGCTATCTATTAGCGTCGGCGGCAACCAGACTGGTTGTCTGGTTGCCGCCGTCGCTCATAAATGGCGGTAGCTGTCGAGAGTTTTGAGTAGTTTTGTGTCAACATTTGTTTGGTACGGACACGAAACTAGGGAAACTAGCCCTTAACAGCTCCGCTGTAAAAAAAACTATAAATAAAATAACAGCAACAAAAACACGGAAGGTGAAAACCGGGGGATCAATTCTCTCATTTAGAAGTTGCGTTCTTTACGAACGCAAAAATTTAGCAAGGTCACCAAGCTCAACATTGTCCCGACTAGGTAAAAGCCTAAATATTCAAATTTCAACAGAAGCGGCTTTAGCTTGATTACGATGCGCAGCGTTGGTCATATACCAAAAGCTGTCTGCAGCCATGCTGCGAAGATGCTTGACGCGTGTCCGCAGACCCTTTTGTTATCATCAGCAGCGAACACCTTGCCTTTGTAGGATGTACGAACAGCGCGACTGCGGCTTTAGAGTTCTGCTGGGGCTCGTATGTAACCAATGGGCCAATGAACGCTTGGTATTGGGCTCGGGCCTAATATGGGAAATGTCACTGTCGTGGTGTGGTGACGATTCACGAAGAGAAGAAAAATGAGAGCATACTTTATAGTTAGTCTATGAGGTGTTACACTATATACGTTCACCACTAAGCTGACGTAATTTTGAAAGCTTCGTGCTAGAAGAATAAAATCCCTCGTTTGCCTTTTATCGCTCGACTCCGCTTTCTGCGTGAGATTATGAACCGAGAGCGTTAATAAGGTTGTGCAAGGCCCACGGGTGTCTGATCCGGCGAGGACGTTCACCGCCCTGGCATCTTAATGGTAAAGAGAATATAACTATATGATGTATAAAAAAAATATCGGGCGAAGGGAAGGGAGGGGAGGGTAATCGGCGCTCGCGTATACAACCGGCACGATCTTGTTTGATCGGGCTTAACCGCAAGTGGGTGAATCTTGGGCTTAAAGTGACCGTGAATCGTTTCTTGAATTCGAGTTGCACGAGTGCATATTGTGTAGCGCCACATATACACGCACGGCATTTAACCGAAAACGCTGCAGCTGACGCCACTGCTTCTGCAAAATTTCCAAGAGAAGAGCGAACTTTTGTGTATCTACTTCGGAAAGATTTTAGTAAACTTTCACCATGATGCATCGACTGCGCCAAATGTACCCAACCACGTCAGTCGAATCCAGCGCACGGATTGAATCCAAGCGTTCGAGCGATGAGTCATCACTCGGACTGCGCTCGGTAACAATCGATCCGTCGGCGGATACTTGTGCGCGCGCACGCACACACACGCGCATGCACGCACGAGCACGCACACACTGCAGATGCCCACACCCAGAGGCACACATATAGGTGAACAGACGCGCAGACAAACACGCAGCCACCTATACGCACGCACGCACGCACACCCAGACACATGCGGAAAGGCATAAACACGAACACATACAGTCATACACACGCCCGGACACACGCGCGAAACCGCACACACACGTAAACGTACTTGTAAGATACGAAATACACGGGACACTTAAGAAATAATCAGCAAGCGAAAGAAGTTATTGCTGGACATTACAACATAGTTTATAAATAACAAAAATAATAAATAAAAGCAGTGTCCATGGTCAGTTCTGTTAGTGAGCTAATCTAGTAACGTTGATACGAACTGAGCCAACTTGACGCCGAACGCCGGCGCAGTTTTGTAGTGTCAAATACATGTGTGCCCAAACAATGGCGCGCACTTTAAAAAAAAGTGTCGTTCGTGCTGTGTTTGTACTTAGACAGCCGGAAGGTCTAGTCGGCCCAAATAGGCGTCCGGAGTCACTGCCTGAATGAGAAATCCGAGCAGCGCACTGGAACCGCTATCCTGGTTTTTATTACGTGCATCACTCACTAGTGATGCACGACCGCACGCCGGTGTAGGATGCCTACCCAGATCGAAATGGGCAGGGGTGAGAAATTAAGGCCAGGATCACTGGGTTCCGCAGCGCGAGCTTTTGTTGCTCCATGTGCTCCGAACTGCGTTGCGTTAGCACGCTCGGCCATCGATTTACCCTGCCGTCTTCCTCACACGCATGCAAGAAAAAAGAAACATGCGAAAATACATTTCCGCGGAAGATTGCCAGAAAGCTAAGTGCTTGATTAGCGGAGAAGAATCGTGCTTGTCACGGGGCACTAGGCTATTACCAAACAAGCCTCGGCCCACTCTGGCCACTCGCTTCTGGTTCCAGGGGCTCATCGACCGGTTGTGCCTCAGTATTGTCTTTCGCACTTCTTAAAACAACTTACACCAGGATGTCGGGGCTCCGACTCTTCACGTGACGGGCGCGTTGCAGCGGAGACAACGTCCACGTCTTCGACGGAAATTTCTCTCCCGATTTTTTTCGGATATTTTGTGTCTCAGCGGCGATGAGAAAAAAAAACAAAAAACATTTGGATGCGTTCAGAATCACCGCTGCTCAATTTGCTAGGTGCCGTTCTGTGATGTATCTATCCTGTAATTGGATTTCTTAGATGTAAGACTTTTTTTTTTTTATTTCTGCCGTTTGTTGTAATTTAAGTGAATTCAGCATGAAAAATACGTGTTTGATTTACAGACAGATTGAAGTACTCCTCTCACACAAGTCGTTGACCCATTGTTCATTGGTTCCTCTCGTGGAAACTGTGAAACTGCGTGTTGCGTTTGTTGTCTCACTGTGCCTTTCTTCTTGTGAAAAAAACAAGATTTTTTTTCAGGATTTTTTTTAAAGAATTTGTTCGAGGTAAGGTCAAAACGTATCTTAAAAAAAAAAAAAAACACCGCAGCACGAGTTTGGTTTTCATTCCTTGTAGCGTCCTTGGTGCGGCACCCAGAAGACTTGCTTGGAAACACACGCTTGGTTGTAAACACGCAGTGCTTAGCGTGGAATAAAGCGAAGTTTCTGCGTCTCGGGAACGATGACTGCGGCACCTTTGGTCGAAAGGTCGATGACTTGTCCTTCCTCAGGAAGCACGTTGTACTTCTGCAGCAGCGTAGTGATGTTGAGGAAGACTTCGACTGTAGCCAACGTCTCGCCCGGGCACATTCTTTTGCCTGGAGTACGAGCAAAGTGGAAATGTGTCAATAATATAATTTTCCACAACTTAAAAAAGAAAGGTTAAGATGCAATGTATTTTTATTAACTGTAACCGGCAAAAAAAAAAAAAAAAGGAACGAGCTGGCGCAAACTAGTTGAGACCGGATATAAAAAGAAGGCTATGCGCGGAGATGTGTGGTCTTTAAAAGAACCCCCATGCACCCAAAAATATTAATTGTTTTGTCAGGCAATTTAATATGGTGTCAGGGGACTACCCAATCAATAGTTTGCTGCAGAGTCACGTATATTTTCAATAAAGCCAAAAAACTAAACTGCTCGAAACCGAAACCGAAAGACGAGCACAGAAGCTCATGGAAGGAAATCACGTGGCTACACCTGACGGAAGCCCCGTTCGACTGATCTGGACCTCCTGCACCGGTGCAAAAAAGTGCAGGGCGGTGTACTTCCACTCGCAACTCAGTACACATACCGGAAGTACATTGCCCTACAGTTTTTTTTTGCACCGGTGGAGGTAAATCGAACGCAGCTAGTATGTTTCTCCGCTTCTCCGGCGTTTGAAGCAGACGACGACGAAGTTGTGTGCACTGTCTGTCGTGTGATTGTTTCGCATTTATATCTCTTCCGCTTGATCTTCTGCGCTCGAAGAACGATTGACCAGTACCACGAACGACAGTTCCGAAGTAGCGGCCCACGTCCGTCGCGACGGTGGTCCGTCGTGCACCGCCATCGCGTCGTTCAGCCCGCGGAACGTCGCCATATCGAGAATGACCAGAACGTGTACTCCCTGTGATCTGTGCAACATGTTTTCACTCAACGTATCTGCAGTTTTTTGGAGGGTACAAAAATTGAATTCATATTCTTATCTATTTCTAATATTGAATGTGTGCCTTAGATGACCTACACCTTTAAATATATTTGGTACACATAGTCTGAACGCCACGTGACATTACGAAAGGGAGTGAGCGCGACTGAATTCTCGACCCGCTTTTTTCGGGCGGAAAGAAAACGAATTGCGAGTCGCAAAATATGTTCTGGGTAATTTGACTCTTATAGGTCATTTTCAAATGCAACCTTCGTCGAATATAAATACTCCGTCAGTGTCCCTTTAAGTGTTATTGGAGTGAGGTTGGAATTAATTGTCATTACTCCTTATTGTGGATGCCTAGCAGTCCGTTCTATGGATTAGCACGCCGGAGTCCATCAATCTGACATTTGGCCGTTTCGGCTAAGGAGTACGCTGATATTTCAGCCCATTGCAACTAGCAAACAGGCCTATAAAAGTTAGAATCAGTCACAATGATTTCTGTGACATTGTATTGTTCCTTTTAGCTTAGGAAGACCGTAGATTCTATCCACAATAATGTAGGTTTGCTAGGCACGACACAACGCACAATATTCAGTAATAAAAACTGCTGCCAAGTGCCAAAATATGCAACTCAACAGGAGTTAAGATGACCAAGGTTGAAGACGTAGGAAAGCATTAATTCCTGAAAACAAACATTCCTACATTTCCTAAGATAGGATAAAGAAAAACTGCATTGAATTGTCCAGATGGCATATACCTAACGCAGTCAAGTTAGGCTTGAAAACAAGGATCATGTTGCTTGCGCAGAAACGTCCACGAAAATTGCGTGGGAGCTTACGGAAACAAAGAAAGGATTCTTTAAATAGCCGTAATGGTTTATTTGCAGCATAGGTTCAATTATTAGCTTGATTAGATAAACCGGTAAACGGCGCGAGCGCTGCTTTTATAGGGGGCGTTGTACGTTTAGTTTTATTTTTATCCCTCCCCGGGTGAAATTGCAGTGGCAGCTGCGGCTCAGCAAAAGAATGACTGCAGTCTTAAAATATGCAAGGTCGCAGGCAAATCTACCGGTACAAAGTGTTATACCTCTGTGCAAGGTCGCGAGCTAATTCGCCGATTCTTCAAAGGAATTCGCTCTGAAGACCTTTAATGTACCCGTCTGAGAGTGGTATGGACGTGAGGCGAAAAACACATACAAACACACAAGAACGCAAGAAAATAGTCAGAAAGTCACGCTGCAGCCGCACGTGGGACCACCAGACGCACTACGTATAGGAGCTTGCCCAGCTCACTGTTCTTCGATTGATAGCTGGTCGTTGGCAAGAGCGCGAGTTGGGAACAACGTTGGTGAGCGCTATCATTCTGCACACAACGCGACATCAGTTATACTTATTTTTATCTAGAAAATAACACCTATCTAGGAATTCCCTCATTTCGTAATAATGGTCATCAACAGATCGGGATGGAAACATCAACTTTTGACGCCATTCTGTGACTCGTTTATTCTTCGGTACGTCTGAGAGGTTGATTTGAGCGTAGCTTTTGTGGAGGGTGTCACGTAGCGTCTGGTTCAGACTCAGCATGAACCTGCGTTGTAAACTTTGACGATGATTCCACCATTAAGGCATGAATGAGCGAAGGCACGCTGATATTGTATTTCGGAAAATTACACCGATGGCTTTGACGAGCCTCTTGGTGTTTATCGGTAGAAAACGAATACATAAAACCGACATGTGCTTATCTTAGGTATTATATAATCTACGCTTTGACTTCCTAATATTTTTCGAACCTCCCCAGCAGCTACGGCGAGGATCCGCTAACGGTCGTCGAAGCATTCGACAAAGAAGATACACCTAATTTGAGAACGACTGAACGTGACCTTCATGATGGTGGAATCGACGAAATTCAAGCCCCTTGTTAATCTCCTTTTGTCCATCTAAAGTAAGACTTAACCGTTTGGATTATGCGACAACGCGACACCTGCAAGCGCGCGCGAAGGTGCTAAACAGATGAGCCGCGATCTTGCGTTAATAGTACCGTAACTCTATCCACTGGAACACTGTGCAATTGCGTACACTAAATGTTCTGCCCATCACTCCGTTGAGTTGGAGGAACTTCTACAATCATTGCAATTTATTTAGAATACAGCTGAGGACATCTAAATCCACATGAAAAAGTGCGGAATAGTTCGTGCTTCGTATAAGAACTTCTTGGTTTGAATGTCTTCGAAGAATAAAGAACGGGAAGGAGAAGAGAAGCTCTGGCCAATACTCACCGACTGAAAAGGGCATCAGGGATTCTGGTTTTGGCCCCAACTCCGTGCCGTCTTTCGTTAAGAATCGGGAAGGGTCAAAGTTCTGCGGGTCCTTCCATAGCTTGGGGTCCATGTGAACTGTCCACAGGTTGGCCAATACCATGCTTCCCTTTGGAATGAAGTACTCTCCATAGAAGACGTCTTCCGATGCACTAGGAATAAAAAGAACATTGTACAGCTCCGAAAGTCCCCGTTTTTCAGGAACGATCATCTTTCATATTTTTTGTGAAGGGCAAAATAATTGAAGATGTATAGAACTGAGAGTTATGCTGTAATCAGTGTTGTACGCTTCAAAATACGTTACTCGGTACTTGCAAAATAGAGGAACGCGTTACGGCATAGGTTACCTCAGAATATAAGGAACACGTTACCGCTACCGATGAAAAAGTAAGGCACGTTACTTTTGCGTTACTTTTTATTTATAAATTGACGGTAACAGCGTTCTTTCTTGCGGCAGCGTTTTTCGACACTGGGAGAAATGGCGTTGGCATTGGGTTTTTTTTTAAAGTGGGACTTTTTGCGTTGGGAAAAGACAGGCAAAAGTTTAAAGGTACGTTAAATGAGAGTAATAATTAATGACTTGGCGCGTATACTTCGTTTCAGGTTGGGTCCAGACAATCTCCGCTACCAGCTAATGAGATAAATCAGGGAGCGTCAAAAGCGCAGGTCACTGGGCCTTGAACACGTACAAAACCATGAGCGCTCCAGAATTCCTGGGGATCCTGGGTTCCATCCCGATCCCTGCCCATTTCAATCTGGTTGAGCATCGTGCCGGCATGCGGTCGTGTATCAATACTGTGTGGTGCACGTTAAAGACGCCAGTCTAACAGTTGTACCGCACGGGCTAAATTGATCACCTTCAGCTGAGAGACATGTCGCTTACTAAAGCCAAGGCAGACTAACTTGCGACTGTATAGACATGTACACAAATGTTTGTTTTCACAGAAACATGACGAACACCATGATATTCTTTTGACGCTGTCGGATTGGTCCCATCAGCAAGTAGCGCGGGCTGCGTCTGTAATTAAAATAAAACGAAGTATCGAAAGGCGATAAAAATTTAAGTGTACTTTTTTTAGGTCCTGGGAAGAGGTGTAACAAGTAACGGGACTACGTTACTTGAAATAAGTATAGTACGTAAACCGTTTCTCTTTTGAAAAAGTAACGGGTACGTTACTAATTTACCATAAAAACGAACGCGTTATCGGTAACGCCGTTACTTGTAAAGCGTTGCCGCCAACACGGCCTGTATTGACTGCCTTGAAAATACCTGCCTGGAAGCTAAAAATGCTAACGAAGAGGGCTGCGGAACTTCATTCACGTTTGCAACTTTTAATATTTTATGTTGAAATTGATAATTACTATTGTAAGGTTTCATCATATTGGCATATATACGATCTAATATCAAGCAAACACTGTGCACATTCTTGGATTCCGTCAACCCCACCATGACGAACCATGTGCCACAAAACCTAATATTACGAAACTTCGGAGGCATTATTACCATATTCTCTAGATTTGTTTCCTGGAATTGGAAAATTTTTCAGCCTGCTGTTCTGGATAAGGACTGAACTGACATTGTAAAGTCAATTAACTCCTGATTTTCTATTTAGTTCAAAGTCCTTTAATCCACACCTGATGTTTTGTGCACGCGCTGATATTAAATTGCCTGCATTTATTATTTTAGACTTTCTTTCACAATCGCACATAAGAATTTGCTGCCGCTTCGGGAAGCGTAGTGTCTTCCAGTTCTAGAAGAAAATGTTTCTTCTCAGGTGGACGCAAAGCCACAATAAAGCAACACCAAAAAGAACTGGCAATACGGAAGGGGTAAACACAGCTAGGTTGAGGTATACACCAAGCGTTTCCAATATACTCCACATTTTTAAATACAATCATACATTTTATTATGAATTGTCTCCCGAGAGAGGTGATTAGTAATATAACATGCGTGGAATTCTTGATATTACTTGACATAGAAAAATGTCGATAATGAAGAATGAAAGTGAGAAAAATATACAAGTACTATAAGATCAGTAGAACATGTTAACTTTCTGAATATTGTTTTGTTACAAAACGGTTCTCCGCACAACGTACAATAAATTAGCACGAACATACAATTAAAGTTTTCTAAATCTTCTAAATAACAAAAAAAAAACAGTTTTTTTACACGCTGATCTTCAGCTTTAGACAAGTTCTTCGCTGAATGCGTGTGTATGGGAGTATCTGTGGAGGTGCAACCATTGAGTCGTGCAGCCTGACAACGACGTGTCGATTAGATGTCTGCTCTTGTCACATTTTTTTTTCAGCCAAAGGCTGCGCCCAAAGAGAACAGCTGCGGAAAAGCAATCGGTCAAGGTAGCAAAAACAACTTGAGCCCAACTCTCTACATCGTTCATCAACATCAAAAAGCGGATGTTTTCAGATGTCGTGCCGAGCTTATTACTTCATCGTGTCACGTCTGACGGCTGAAAAGACGCGATTCTATAGCTTGCCAAACTAAAACTTGCTTTCGTTTCTTTATACTAGATTGTATTAAAAATAGAGCTCTGTGCCGAGCAAAGACCTACTTATATTAGTCGTAGTCTCGAACTGCGTTCAATATGTTGGGACTTCACAAACAAGTTGGTAATTTCTTCTATGTCCTGTTATGGTTCTCAGTGCCCGATAAACCAAACTGCAGTCCAAAACGGCCGTTTCCTAAATATTCGCAAAAGCATGATAAGAGAAAACTTGTATTAGAGCACTTTGAAGCTGTGTTTCTCGTCGAATTTATACTTAGATATACTTTCTGGTCGCATAACTGCTCTGTTCGCCGTCTGATTTTATCTAAGACTAAACTTTTTCTCTTTTGTGTTACGAGTGACTGTGGAAGTCAGGAAACCTCAGCGCTTCCGATTGTTTTGAATACAAACAATTAACGGACAGTACTCGGACAATACTTGAACGAATCTTCAAAAGGGGCTTCTTGGAGGTAGGTACACTAAGTACAGAAAGCTTCGGCCATGCCTACCGTGCTTTCCTACTGGTGTATCGTTCTACAAATGCAAGTAGGAGTGAGGGCGAAATAAAACTATTCTAAGCGGCAGTAAACGGCGTCAAATTTAGTATATATATTATTACATTTACTCACTTACTGGAGGCATTTAGATGCTAAAACAGTATCTAGACCTTCTTTAATTCTTTAACGACCCGTTCTTTAAGCTGATTGAATAATTTTTTCTGACAAAATGACCAAATGTGATAGAAGCGCGCCAATGACACAGTAAAAAAGGAAACAGGCGAAACAGGCAAACATTGTCTGTGCTAATTTATGATTAAAGTTGAATAGGAGGTCAATTCAGATCGGCAACTGAACAGTACTGGGGGACCTGAACATATTTAAAGAAATTTAGTGTTTCTAGAGATATGATGAACTCATAACCAAAAGTGGGTGAAGAATAAGATATCTGCTGTTCATAAAAAGAACACATGAAAGTGGTGTTCCGGATGTTATTCATATGCTAAGCGTGAGATTAAGGCACGTACAACTATTAGTGGTGCACCACACTTTGTACATGTGCTAGAACCTGCCTATTCGTAACGCAGTGGGTTTCAGGAAGAGCAAAACAAGTTCATCCATGCTTTCTTTATATTGTCGTGGATGGAAACGCCATCGTAGATTGTAAAACTGAAAACAAAGGTTTGATCGGCGAACAGAAAAAAGGAAGAACGAGCGTTGAGAAAGCTTCAGCGAGCGTCGCGGTGGTGGCGTGACATGTGGCTAGCGTTGGGCTTTTTTTCTACTACACTCGGTAACTCTTACATTCATCTAGACTCTAGAGTGTTCGGGTGTCTAATAGTCGGAAGACTGACTCGGCAAGGTCATGTTGGCCTTCTTATCTTTTTACACTCGGTATCTGGAACATTCGAATCGAACGTCAAATCATTTGGGGTAAGAGTAAACGCGAATCTTCTAGAAGTACGGAAAAGCGTGTGGCTCGCCCATGCACGCGGCCATATCTGAAGTAAACTGTCATTTCATCCAAACAAAAGTAATAAAAATTGGTAAAGAAAAATCTTATTTATTGGGACACGTCGTCTATATTTGATGTTATGTAGAAATAGGTTACTAACTTTGCCCTAAAAGCTTATGATGCTTCTACTTCCATTTTAATTTTGTCACGAATCGAATTAAGAGACGTCAGGGGTCGCCAACAACGTGACAATGTTTTTAAACTCTACCAGATTGGGGGACATTGCAAGCTCGCATACACTAAAAAAACAACAAGAAGAAGAACAACAACATGCGAATGAATTTTTGAGAACTTGAAACGAAAGCGTTTTATGTGAATATGAGAAAATGCTGATCAGTGGATATTCATACTCTTCGCCTGTGAGATATTCAGGGAAACTCCGCGAACGGCTTACCCAGCCCCAACAAAACGAGTCTCCGGCCGTCAAGATAGCAGTGGGAGAGGGGGAAATGGAAAGCGTGGCGAGGGATATTTTCCTATCGCGAGGAAGACCTTTTTGTAGGTCGGGTTTTAAGTAGTTCGAAATGAGGTAGAACAGGTGCTTTGAATATACTCCCTTTGCCTGCGTATAGTTGAACAGAAATGCCCAAGAAATAGTATTGTTTCATTGTCTTCGAGTGTCATCATCGTTCAAAACGTGGACATTCGGATTCCAATGCTTTTTAACGAAGCGAACGTAATCAATGCATACTTTTCTGTGTTATGAGATAGGGTACATTTTGCATTTCTAGCGTAGTAGGAGTCTGAATATATGTTTTTCTGTATCCCTGTGCGGAATTTATCTACAACAAATCAAAACATGTACTTTGATTGCTCTCCTCAAATAATGCCCCTTGGGCGAGACAGGTGAACTTAAATGAGTAAATACATACCAAGCATAGAATTCAACCCATTTCTTTGTCATTACCACATTTACGTGTTACCGCGTCACTCTATAGTCTATTGTAACATATAGGACATTCGAAAAGTTCCGCGTTCTTTGCCCTATATCCTGCAAATGAAGCGTTGTGGCGATAGCCGAGACGCTGCACACTGCTGCCCAAAGTTACACTGCTGTTTTTAGATCCTTTGCTGACTTACCTACCAATATATTCAGTGGACGGCATTCATGTGACAGTACGTTATTGTGACAATATACCCTTTTTTCAAAAGTGCTCGCCGTCCAGTAGCTGCTTCGTCTAATTTCGAGTCCACTATTATTTGGGTCCGTACTGGGAACGTAAATTGGGCACAAGGGTTGCATTCGGCGAGGGCTTGCACGCCCCGTGCCCCAGTATTGTCGACGACCAATGTTGCATGATCCGACTTTTGAAATAGGGCCTTATTGTTCCCTAATATCGTCGCATAGATTGTTTTGTCCATGGAGTAAGAGAGTTTGCTGCAGGTTAACACAATGTTTTCTATTTCTTTTATCTTGTAATTGTCTTATGATCTTCCTGGAATTATCGGAACAATATACTAAAACTTTCTAATAGGAAGTTTTAGTAAATGGTTTCGATATCTCCGATGCCGATACCAGATATACTTCTTCAGCGCCTTTGCGCATGCATCGTATTGTTATCGGGTTCTCTATTGAAATTATCGGAACGATTTAATAACACTCCCTAATAACGGCTATTGCCGAAAAAAAAAAATCGAAGCCTCTAGTTGTGCGGTGCGTTTTTCACTTGAGGATTTGTGGGCAGATTCGCGCAAGCGGAACGTGGATCTTGGGGCCGGGTGGCAAAAACGACCCGTCCCTGACGGAAAATCTGGATCGGTCCGGGACCCATATCCAGATTTTCTGCCAGCGACGAGTCGATGTCGCCACCAGAATCCGAAATCCACTTTCTGTTCGTGCGAATCCGCCCGCGAATCCGCAAAAGTAAACACTCCATTTGGATGCTTGATGCTTCTTACGCTCTGGGGATTCCTAGCGGAGCTATTGTCCTCCAGCGGTACATCTCCCAGATGGCGGCCATGGTGAAAGGCATCTTGTTGCGGTCTTCCCACTTGGGCTGGCGTTCCCTGCCCACCACGTCGTCGATCTCGCGTTGAATCTTGGCCTGCACCGTGTCCGGGTACTTTGCGTAGGTCAGCAGGTGCCACATGATGGTCACCATCACCGTGTTGGAGCCGGCGCCGAAGAAGTTGAGGACGTTCCCGAAGAGGAAGCGGGCTGCGATTGGCAATATAACAACGAGTTACTTTCGCGGTTATTATCGAAACACATAAAACTTCCATCTATACCCGTCGTTGACTATTTTGTGCTACATTGTCAAAACGCTCCCACGGCGCTGCAGCTTCGCACAGCTGCTGCCAGTGCAAAAGGCTTCGTATTGCGTCTCATTCGCAAGCGCATTCGCTTTGGGAGCGTCGGGGCACAATCAAATCTACGCTATAGCCTCGACAACGTGGCACAATATAGTTGACGCCGAGTATAGACGGCTCCAAATTTTTAGAGAAATAGCCTTGTAAGGATAGGCGCGTTTTGAAACGTGTTGGCCATGTGGTGATATACACCAATAAAAAGTAACTGTACAAATAGCATGTTTAGGCAACGGGAAGAGTCAGCCCGAATAGGCGTCTGATGGTGTCTCCATTGTACAAGATAATACATTTAGCCAGTGAAGTTCCACTGCTAGCCAGGGGTCTTTAACTCTCATCACTTAATCGTGATTACACTAACAAGTACGATGCTCATCCAGATCGAAACGGGCAGGGGTGGGGATTGAACCCAGGACCCCTGGTTTCTACAGCGAGCACACATATTCCGCGTGCTCGGAGCCGCGGCGCGTGAACACGCTCGACCGAAGATCCGCCTCAAATAAATGACACTTTTTATCAAAAGGACGCACAAGTTAAGAAAACCAAGTGAATGTACTGTAGTAATTACCGATGAAGATTGACCGGCCGTCAGCCTAGATGAGGCTGTGATGTCGATCGCAGTATTTTTTCTCGATAAGCCATATTAGCAACCAATCGCGAAACAAGTTAAAGCCGTCATAATTAGCATGTCCCTCCAGGTGTAGTTACCTTAGTTTATTTTTAGGCAACATAAATTTTTTTAAATTTTTTTGAACCGTCAGTCAGCAGATTAACGCCTTTTGAATCATCCCCCATCGAAAACCTCTTATAGTCATTAGGAACAGTGAAGACTTCATTATTAGCGTGCTCGACATCGAACAAACTGTCATACTGGTGTTTTGTTAAGTATAGACCCTTTCCGAAATTCAATGCCATCAGGTGGTTTGTAAAGCACTTTAGATTTTGCCATATCAATGGCGGAAATAAACTTGTATCGGCACTGCGACTTTCGCAAGTCAGCAGCACGGGAGGAATTGTTCAGTGTGAGTTCTCCCTCGATCACTTTCAGTTAGATGGTGACCAAAAACCTGCATTCAGGACAAAACTCCAACCCACTCAGATGCCTCCAAAAAAATTCCATACACCAAAGTGCTTTAAAGCCGATCGTGTGTCCCCCACAGATTGACTGAGTCTGAGTTATTAGGAATGAACCCTTCCGTATATAGCTCTTGTGTTCCATTCCTACGTCGTGTCGTACTAATCCCCTGAATGTACAGGCCTCGCAAGATCCGCTTAGGAGATTCTTCAGCGTCTTCCTTTATCAGTCACTAGAAGGCCGCCATTGGTATGGCACAGATGGCGTTCCACAGATGATGATAGTGATCAAAGTGGCCAGACTGAATTTCGGAAAGGGTCTATTGAGAATACCAATGTAATTGAGGGTCGTATATAAAATAATTCATATGTCTGCTGTGCACAAATTTACAAACTTCTAAAGTGTAACCTGCAACAATTTTACGATCACTCATGGTATCAAATTGTCTAGAATTGCAAAAAAGAAGAAAAAAAAACAAGAAAAGAAAAAAAAAAAACGAAATGAATGCGGAAGACTTTTTAAACCAAGTAATGCGCCTACATTTTTTTGAATCGTGAGAACAGTACAAGTTGTATCAAGACCCAATCGAAGCGATGGTTTTGCCATGAAATGTCTCATTCACATTTCTAGGGTTCCATCTTTTACACAGGCGATGCATATAAACCCCTACCGGGTCCGTGGACAGTAGCCGCCGCTAACACCAACTACTGACGCAAAGGTGCTCGGGTGACCCTCGCGAAATCTGTTTTGAGAGGTCAGCTGTCGAAAACCTACATGGCCGGGGAATTACACAGGCGTCTTCGTGAACACTCAACCGTTCTCCCGTGGAAAAGTTCTCCGACATTTTAAGAGCCATTGTCGAAACGTAGTTTGGAGATACACATCCACGGTAAGCTGTTAAAAAAGATTATGGAACCTTCAAAACAATCTTAATTTGTTCTAAACTTAATGCATGCACCCTAATGAATAAGGTGTCTTGTCGCTCTTCCAGATGCCTTATTGCTTAACTAATATACGAGGTTTGTTTTGTTTTAAGGTCACGAAACTCGAGGAGAGTGACTCACTTTGAAAGCTGGAATCTGGGTCATTTTCGTGCTCTTTGATTTTCTTGATGTATCCGTCTATGAAGTCGCGATTGCTGTGCTCGTCGAGGGTCTCTTCATGCTCCTTCACCTCTTTGCTAGTATGCGCAATAAAAACAAAAAATGAGAATACATTGAGTTCCTACGGCAATATAAAATTTACCGGTTTGTGCAGCATTTCCCAAAAGTTAAAAGGCGCGCCTTCAAAATTTTTTTTTGTATGCCTTCTGTCTTTCTCGGCAGTAGCCTGCCTTTTTATTTTACTTAACCGTCTTTCACACAAAACACACTATTTTACTATCAACTTAAACCATCTTGACGTCGGGCACTATATTTGCCGGTTTGATACCCTTTCCTTGCATTTAATGCTGAGTTTCGCTTTGAGCTAACTTATTATTTCAAACCGAGAGTAGACTTTATTTACAGCCGATCCCAGAGTATATCCAAAAGTATAAATACCTATTTATTGAAGAAAAACAATACGGCCTTGTACGACAACTGAACCGAGAGGTTTCCAAGACGATCAATGTAACAAATTGCACAAGAACTGCAGTACTCCGAAACACGACCGCGTTGCTAATAGGGCGGAAGAATGGCCCGCGTTTTTTTTGGGACGTTTTTTGCAATTTTATTACATTTATCTACATTCTTTTCGCAACTCAGAGCCAGGCATAGCCTCGACATACACACCGATTAGTGTCAGAAACAGACTTCGATCTCATCCACAATGACATCGGCTACAACGATCCTTTGGCGCTGCTAGGTGAGTCGCTAACTTGAAATCGTGCTTTTGGTTTTTATTTACTGCATTGATTTTGACGTAGAAGCAAAACAGTTGTGCCCAAACTACCGGGAAACATAAGACAATTCAAGCGTCTCTGTATCCTGGAAAAAGACGGATAAGAAAGCGACCCCGGAGCCTTCGAACTGGTTTTTGGTGGAATGTTCCGGAATTGTTTTGAATAAGTGAAACGGAATATATCAGACCCCTTTGTTACGTCGTTCATGTAATCGAAAATTGTTATATTGGGCCGAAAAATAGGATGCTTTTCTGACTGCACCTCATAAGTTCCTGTATGCTGCCATCGATGCGTATTAAGCTATATAAATCACGTCCCTATGGCACGCAGAATAAGTATTTTGTGTAAAATACTGCACGTTGCCGGAGTTCTAACGAAGCCGTGACAAGCAAAGTTTGAATGGGAGGCGCGAATTCGATACCTCTATATTAGAAACCAGGTTTTGTTGGGATATTGGTGAACAGCTGAAACTGCGCGTACTTAGCCAGAGTGTCCGATTGCATGACAACTACTTAGGGTTTTGTATTTGAAAACCCAATAACACAAACAGTGTGAACTTTTCAGTGTCGATATAAAAGACACTTTGTGTATTAGAAAAAAGAAAATATCTTTGAAGCACAGTGCCATATTTATCAAAACCTCGTACAATTCCTTTTTGATTTGGGAGCTTTTGACGAGTTGTCTAAATTACTCTATTCACTTTATGAATTTCTGACGAATTGTTAACCAACAGCCTATATTCATTTTACGTATTGGAACAAAGTAGTACACCATGTTAATTCTCATTGTTGTTGAAAAATTGGTGGGTTTCATCGCTGCTTCTCGTCATAGTGACAGTGCGTGCCGAGCCTGGACGAAGGGGATTAGAAGAGAAACTACATCTACTAAAAATATATTATTCGTCACGTTTTTGATTGTAAGACAGATGCCAAACGCAAAATCAGTTGCCGAAGTTAAGAAAAAAAAATAAAACGCTTTTTTTGTGTGTGGGAGTTAAACATTTTTGTTGTTCGGTGTTTCCTTAAAGTTTGCTCCTCAAAGTTTCGAGAAAACGTAATGTATATATTGTGGTAACACGTGTTCCCCGTCTCCCTGTCTAGACCTAGCACATACAGACCGCGGGGACGGCGGTGGCAGCGGCTTCCTGGATACAAGGCGAGGCCGCATTCCTCGAAGAGGGAGGTGTCTCCCTCGCCGTTTGGGTGAATCTGCTACCGGCACACCTTTCGGAGTGAACATGGACGCGACCCACGTGCGGGCTAAGCCGCACCACCTACCCAGGGCGTGTCCATTTAGCACAGGCTATATAAGCTGGCCCCGAAACCTTCGAGGGGGTGTGACGGGAGCCGGAGGCTCTGGTCCTCGGAACCTTTACTTTCTTTTTTCAGCTACTCCCTTCTTACAAATGTAGTAGTACAGCAACGTGGGCCCCTCCAGGTGAATCTGTCTGATACGGCAGCGTCAGCATCTTAGTCTTTTTTTCTTCTTTGTTGCCTAACGGGCAAAGCGTGCTAGCGTAATCGGCAATAAAACACGTAATTCTACGGACTGCGACATCCTGTTTTTCTACGTGGTACTCCTCAAAGGGAAACCCCCAATATAGACAACCATTAAATTGTTATATCCTACTTCGTAGAAAAATAGTCCATAAAATGGACAATTGTAATATAATTTTGTCGCTATGCCTGCAAATTTTCGCAGATGGTTTCTGCATTGGCAATTAAAATATCATTTGGCATGTCTTTGGCGTTCTAAGTGTGATTAAAGATTTCTTTAGGAACCCAATTAAAATATTTTTAGGTTATTGGTCACGTTAAGAGAAATTTCAGTAACAATACTTTAATATACAAATATTTCTAAAAGAGTCTCCTTTCTCAGTAAAGTTCACCAGCACCGATTTTTGCGGAACTGAGCAAGTTTACTTCATAATAAAACTTGATTCTATTTCATGTTTTTTTTTTGCGTGAATATAATTTAATGTAGACTATACCAGGCATGAAGCGATGAAATATATAAAGCGCTAAAATTTAATTGTTATCTTTTATTAGCTTTTGGTGATAAAAATAGATTTTCTTTCTTTTTGTTTAGCCTATTTAATCTGAGCCATATCATAAATATTTCGAGGAAGATATTGGTATATTGGATGAACGAACATGTTTCACGAGTTTTCTAGATTGCTAACCCTAAATTCTATGGATGTTCCAGTCACCTATAAAAAATAAAATAAAAAAAAAACTTAGGTGGAACATTACATTTTTTTGTGCTCAACCTGTTTAAAGTTTTATGCTAGAAATATCTGTATTCGAAATTAGTAAATAAATACCTCATTAAAATCAGTGAAATTTGATTGCTTTCATCACAAAATATTACGCTCGACAGAATGATAGTCCTCTTCAATACAAGGATCAGGTATACTGCCCACAACTAACGCTTCAAGTTACCAACTGAAAACATCTGGTCATGAGGACCTTGTTACAAATTCGAGATAAAATCGAAACTGAAGGGCTCTGTTTTAGCCTCCTCAGTGCATTTGCATCGTTCCAGAGACTGGTTAACTTAACACCCGTTACCGCATACAAATTCGGTAAAAGAGCAAATGCTACATTACCTTACAAAATCGCTGAGCTGACGGAAGACGTTCTTGAAGGAACTAATTGTGAGGAATGGGATCCGTAGTGCGAGTGTGTTGAGCCAACTAGGCAAAAAATTTACAATCATGCTGGAGCCTAGTAAACGGAGAGCACTGGCCAACTGCTCGTCCAGAAATTTGCGCTTGGGGTCGTCGAAGAGGTATCGGCTTCCGAATACCAGAGCGGAAATGTTGTTAGACATGCTGGGAACGAGGTACTCTTGTATTGAAATTGGAGAACCTTTGCTCTCTGCGATCTTTTCAGTCAGGTACAAAGACTCCTCCTGTGGAAGAAAAAGTGTAAAGTAACTAGATTTTTTTTTTTGCGAAATCCTACCGTGGAATATAATCCAAAGTTGACTTTTGAGTTCAACATTTTGTTACCAAGAGGTACTCAGGAGCCACAAGACTAAGTATGCATGTTGTTTGTGTGTTTTTTTTTTTTTTTTTTTGCGCGCGTTTAGGTGCATATTTATCTCCCGCGGAAACGGCCGAAGATTTGCTGTGATGATAGTTCAAGATAGGAAGCACTAAATTCAAGACAGGCTGCTCTTTTTATTTCAGCAAAACGCATTGGTTGTGTCGTTTTTCAAAAGCAGCAGTTTCAAGTCGCTTCGGTCAGGGTAATTGACAGATGTTAAACTTTGTTTTTAATAAACAGTTCTTTACATGGTTTGCGTTGAATTTTATCTTTCGGTGGAGAGGGCGTAATTCTTAATTTATAATCGGCAGTTCCAATTTCCCATCCTAAGGAATAAGAAAAAAGAATTGCTATGAAATTGCTAACATTGATTTTTTTCTTCAGTAGTGCTTGCAATCGGCACTCCAATGATTTTTCTAGCTAACGCTACTAAATATGTACTTTCTGAATCCCCGACCTTTTCCTTTCCGGTATGCCATTTAGTATAGCGAAATTTAAAATTGTTATTGCAAAATATGCCACTAAAAATTCCATCAAGACCAGCAAACAAATATACCCGCGCTTTTCAGTGTAGTGACGTCAGTGGCAGGCAGGCTTGCACGTCAAACAGGTCTAGAAAAGAGATCATGCTGAGCATTTGTTACGTGCTTCTGAGCGGGTGCTGGAGCGAGCTTCCAAAACATTCATTTGACACCTGCAGCTGGCGTCATTTTCATTGTTGTTAGTACAGACTTTTACTTTAATAAAGACAGTGAGGATCAAATTGTAAATTCAAAACCTTTGCAAAACAAATATTGTGGCCTAATATTTGGTTTACTATTTCAGTGATGTTTGTTGGTGTGTTCTGCAAATTTTCTAGCAAATCAAGGAATGCGCACCTTTTTCCCCCACCACACGCACACCTCCAAGCTACTGGTCTATGCTGCCCGTTGCCACAATCCACATAAATTGAAGATGACTATAACAGGGATTGACTTTAGAAAGTACAGTTTGCAAGCAACTTTCGAATACAGCTCCATTTGGGAATTGCGCAAAGAAAATATATGTTTCTCAAAGTTTTGAGGCTTTGCTTTATTAATCAAGCTGGGATCAAACAGTAACATAAATAAGTGAGAACTAATTATCACACTTTTTAGCAGGAAGGCATCACAGGGACCTCTGTTTCACACTCTTAATTACCAAATACATGCAGGTTGTCTCTTAGAGCGCAGCTCTGAGGTGTCCATTTCCGGCTCGAGCGCCGTCGCCGTCGCCGGCGTAACCGTGCTTTGCATTCTGGGACGTTTCCCATAATGACGTCACACGTGACATCACGAGGATCACGAAGGTCACTTGTGAATGTCACGACGAAGGTCACAACCTTAACGAGTGACGTCACGAGGGTCACAAGTGACGTCAAGAGGGAGGAGGGAGGGAGGGAGGAAGAGGAGGAGGAGGAAGGGAGGAGGAGGAGAGGAGGAGGGGACGGTACGGAGGAGAGGTATACCCTCCTCCCCGCACCCTCCCCTCCTCAAGAGCTGCGCTCTAATTCGGCATTACAGGGAATTGTAGAAGTCTTTCATTTCTCAGGCTTTACAGATTTGTTTTTAAAAAGGATACACTAATATGGTTTGAGCATACGAGTTCCACGGCCAGGGGACATAATAAAGAGGGTCGATCGTCACGATGAATCGAATAATTATCTACAATTTGTGGACTTTCTAATTAGTACAATAGACATATGGTTCCAATTGCAACTTGCTGAACGTCATCGAATACTACTAAGTCAGTAATGTTTACGAAGACTGAGCCCGTGGGAAGCGCAGCAATGCGCGAAAGTTACCACTCGCGCATGAGGTGCACAAAAGGGGTGAGAAAACGCAAACAGGAGAAGGAAAAACCACGCGTGCGAGTTATCGCACCTGTACACTTGCTTCTACCGCACGAGTGGTGACTTTAGCGCTACACCGTGCTTCCCACGTGCTGCAAGTCTTTCTAATATTTTTTTTTGTTTAGTGGTTTTCAATGATGCTCAGCACGTTTTTAATAAGGACCCTATGTTTATTTTCAACAACTAGAACGTTGATTAACATATGTTAGTTAATTAGTCGAAGGATTGTTACGATTAACCCCCTATGCCGTGTCCCCTGGCCGTATAACTCACCTGCACAAACCGCATTAATGTAGTTTTCACAACCTTTTAAAACAAATCTGTTCAGTTTATATTGCTTTCAAATGCCTTAGAAAGATCGCGCACTGGCCGACGAGAGGAAAATCTTTGTGGGGCGCCTAAATCATAAAGCACTGTATTGAACTGAATAAAAAGAACATACGTGCGGAAGGAAAAAGTGAAAAAAACAAAGAACACAACAACATCGTACCTTGATATGCTCCTCCATTGACTTTCTCCCAAATCCAAGGTCCCGAAGCACGTGCAGGCAGAAGCGACGGTTGTCTTGCCAAAGCTTTCCGTTCAGGGTTCCTACGGCTTAGGGTGGGAGGAGGGGTTCATTGTTAGAAAACGGAAGCAAGTGCAACTACCACGGACGCCATCATAGCCATCCGATAGGTTCAGCGAACCTGATATCGATATTGTTCCAAAATTCCAATGACCACCACTTTAAAATTGGATCTAGGTCATCTTAACTATAAATACATGATAAAAAAAGAGAGAGAAGATGATAAAAAACGTTAAAAAGAGTAAATTTTCACAGATCGTTCCAGAGTTAGTCACCTGAGCGAAAAATGTCAAGTGACCGGACTCTGGATGCAGAACACGCTCTGCAGTTTAGCATACCAAGGTGGCAGGGCGTTTAAGACGATTATTGTGACGATTTTATAGCTGTTAGCTAAGCCACGTGAACATTGCGGGCCTGGTTCAATCCAGCGCCAGCCTCATACCCCATGACCTTGAGCTTGGTGTATCGCTCTGCCAGATTGCAAGATGCGATTCGCTACACTCGATTCAAAGGTTCGCGTCAGAGAATTGTCAGAGGTAGCTCGCAAATGATTTCCGCGATGTCTCGCTTTAAAGCGAAACGGGAGACTCAAATCAACGCATTAATCTTTGCAACGCTTATCCCTCAGGCAAAATGTATCGCATTCGCTTGGCACTGGACCGACACGCGATCAAGGACGTTTTGCAGAGCATGCCTATTGCGCATGCTCCAAACTCCTTTTACAACCTACTAAAAAAAACATGACAGCACTCAAAGGTCGGTTTTTTACTGTTTTATATGAGCTCCACCTACGCAGTAGTACTTACTACACGTAGCTTATAAAAGTCACAGCTCTTTCGTAAGTACCACTCGCAGTGTTTAATTGCATTGTGCGTAAAATGAGTACGAGACGAAAATGCCATCTGTTGCACTTAGAACAAAAGAAGCCTCCTTCTCAACACTTACGTTCGGCACGGATACAAAGCAGAAAGGTGTAGGGCATAAGCCCTTTGTATTTTTCAGTTATGTTATGTTAAGTGGGAAAGAGAAGACTTATATCATGATGTACGAATGTTTTGGAAGGCCTAGATTTTTACTTTAGAACCAAATTTACATGATCCCGGCTTTTGGAATATTTTAGCACAAATTTATATAGTACAGTTTTACGAAACACGTTGTGTGGCCAGAACTTGATAGAATTGTTGACCCACGGAAAGAGATAAAGAAAACGCCGGACATACAGGGTGTTCCATTGGGGCGTAATAAAAATGATAGAAATACGCTAATAAACTGAGTGCAGTGAAACTTTGTCCTAAGATGTCTTTAGGTAATGCATTTATACCCATATTTCTGGAGTGTAGATTTCTGGGAAACTGCGAGAAAATAAAAACGGATGGTTTTCTATGCGCGGAAGGAAAACAGAAGCCAACCGTCGGGTGGACGCTGCTGCTCGTGCGTGGTACCACACATGCTCGGATCTTCTGGATCTGCTTTAGAGTTTTCATCTTTAAAAGGCTTTCAATTTGTTGTGCCATGTAGTAGCAGCGTCAACCCGACGGTTTTCTTCTCTTTTTCTATCGTGCGTAGGAGAAAAACAAAACAAACGTGTTTTAATGTATGGAATGCTTTTTAATACTTTGAACCAATCCCAAAATTATGTCTGTCCGTCGGTTTGTGCATTTTTTGCTAAATTTAACGGGCAAAAGTGACGTCACCTGACGTCACGTGACCTATACACTTTGGGAAAATTTACGTCACGTAACCTATACACCAATCTACCTACCCTCTAAATTTAGTGGGAAAATTCACGTAATGTGACCCAGTTTCCCCACCAAATTTATCGGGGGAAATCGACGTCACGAGAGCTGACCTGATCACGTGACCTATACAACCATTCAGTTTTCCGCTCAATTTAGCGAAAAATATACGTCATGTGGCATACCTATTCTCTCACCCCATCGTTATCCTCCCTCCCCCTCCCGATTCCTCTCCTCCCTCCCCGTCCCCATCATTCTTTCCTTCTAGCAAACCTAGGTGATGTTGCTCCCCAAAGTGCCCTCGCCATCCCTTACGAACTCCCATTGCTGCCTACCTCCAATTCCTTACTTTCTCCTTCCTTCGTCTCCTCTCTCCTCATCACCCCCCCTCTTTTCCTGTGGAGCCCTCCCTCTTCCCCTCGTTGTCCATGTAACACAGCAATTCAGTTTCCCTACTAAATTTAGCGGGGAAATACACTTCATGTCACACCAATCTCTCACATAAATGAAATGCATTTCACGCATTATAGGACTTTAACGTAAAGCTAGCTACCAATTCTTATTGTCTTGAATTTCTTCCCAGTGATCAACACTTATAAAATTTGACGGTAATAAATTCACCACCTAAAGACATTTTCGTGAAAGGTTGAATTCAGGGATGGGCAAAATACATGCAAATATGTATCGAAACACAAATACAAAATACTTCGTCAAAATGTATTTAATTACCAATCTAATTACATTTCCAAAAAAGCATTTCATTACAAGATACAAATACAACCAAATGTATTTGGTCTCCTCCAAATACTTTTCCAAATATATTCCTCAAATGTGCGTCAGCGACTTCAGGGCACCTGCAACGGGTTTCTGAATATCTCATTTTAATTTTGCATCGCACACTCGGGAGTTAGTGTGCGAGGCTCCAGTAACGTAATAGAAACATAATCACACAAAAAATGTAATCAGCTTGGACGTAATACGTGAAAAAGTACAGAGCTTCAAACAGCTTTTTTTGTCGATTACATTTTGGTATAGACCAACAAAGAACCGAGACGACCGAGACGCGCAGCACTAGCTAGAGACTTTTTTATTGTTGCAACTCGCACCAGTTAAGAAAATCTGGACGACCCGCGCATTTTAGATGTTCCAGGTAAAAATATGGATAGAAATCAGGCTGGAAAGCATCACAAGTTGTCACAGGCACTTATTTAGCCAGTCCGCCCGTGAACGTCGATTTCGTCACTATTCTTGCCCTGGACTAGCGCCGTAATCACAACCTCACTAAACGCTTGTGCTTGATTGAGAGACACTGCATTCGGTGAAGAAGGTAGTTTTCTTCCTGCTCTGGACAGTGACAATAAATTTGAGGGATGTATTTTCGCCCACAAAATTGTATTTAATTACAATTGTATTTGAAATACCCACGTGTTAGTATTTAAATACACACGTCAAATACGTTACCCAATTTGTAATTAAATACAAATGCAAAATACACAAGGTATTTAAAATACGTATTTCAAATACTTGTATTTGAAATACTGCCCATCCCTGGTTGAATTGCACTCAGTTTATTAGCTTATTTACAGGGCCTTTATGCGCCGGAACAGCACAAGAACGCACCCTGTACATAATATATTAACGCGAATGCATGACTTTCATACATAACATGACCTTCTCTGCGGTCGTTTTATTGGGGATTGGTATAGTCCTTTACTTTCTATAAATACTCGCGTCATATTTTACGTTCGCCATGGTATTTTTACATTTCTTGAATAAATACTTGTGAGAGCGGCGCGAACCGAATATTTGAAATCTTAGTAATGGGAAGCCTTCCAGCAGAACATTTTGTTGCTTTTAAAAATATTATTCCACACATTAAATTAAATATTACAATTGAAGAATGAATACGTTATACAATTCAGTTCATCTGGGCTCCAGCGATTTTTTCTATCGGTGCGACTTGTACTGATTCGACTTTCCCTTTATGAAATTTCAAGAGAACAAACACAATGTACAATTGTTGCTAGTTGACTCGACAGCTATGTGCCACATGAATTCAGGACAATATTTTCACCTTCCATACTGTGAGCTTGATAGCTTAAAAAAAAACTGTCCTAATGTCCTAATTGTTAATCACAGAAAGAAAACAGTTAAATGCAGTCAGTTACCTAAATTTTCGCGCTGTTCATATTAACGCAGTTCTAAGGTAAGCATCCTGAAAATTGTTCTCAGCAAATTTTCCGCGAGTGGAACAAAAAAAGCCGAAACAACTACGGGCCACAAGGAGATCACATCGACTGTCAATCAAAGAATTTTCTGCTAAAACAATGCATTTCTTCATTCGTTTTTTCCACGCGCTATCCGTGAGTGGAATTCCTTGCCAGCGGATGTGGTCGAGAGTGTTTCTTTATCACAGTTTCTATCACAAATTGAATAGACAATCTTGTTTTGAATCTTGCTGTTTGCTTTCTTTGCCGGTTTCTTTTTTTTTTTTTTCGAGTCATTGCTGGCCAACGTGGTCGATGGGGTTCGTTGTCACGATTTTTGTCGCGAGCCTAGTAGATATGATTCTGTCAAAACCTTGTTGCACGTTTGCCTGGCTGTTCCTTCATATGTGTGATTCGGATAGTGTTTTAATTTTGAAATAACTGCATTTTCACGTTTATCTCTTGCACGCTTGTGTTTCTTTTGGTGTGAATTGATGCTTGTATTTAGTGCTGCAGTGCTGTGGGGCACTGCCAACGCTGTTGATATTATGTAACCGAGCATTGTATATTTGACTTTATGTTGTACCACTCCTGCCAAAGCCTTGAAAAAGGCGAGCAGTATGAATAAATAAATAACAATTTTACTCCGACGAAACACCGAATCGACAAGGATATATTGTGCCAACACATTGTTTGCGGGTTCAGTGTTCATTAACAGCTGTTGGGTCTGCTCGCTGAATCAAAAATAGTTTAAATAACGCGGAATGCAAAAATGTTTGATACGAAGCACGACATACCAGTGATCCCAAGTATGTGAAGGATCATGTTTTCGCTGCGATTCAGAACCTCATTTTTGCACAGGACTTCCTTGATGGAATCATAGTCGTTGAGCACCACAACGTACGTAGCACCTATCTTGATTCTGGTTGGGATAAGAAAATATGTTAGCTTACCAACTTTCACGATCGGCTTGATAGTCAAGTGATTCAACTCCTTAAACGAACTAATGTACGTATTAAATACTACAGGAAAACACTTAAAAGTTTCTTAGCCCTGCTGCAAGCCATGTATTTTTTTTTAGTACGTGATACGTACATTAGCTACATAATAAGTTATATCACACAGGTACCAACCGGCTCGAAAAAGTTGGTATGGTATCGTCAGTTCAACATTAGTGTACTGAACGTCGAAATGTAGTGTTGGGGCGTTAGATATGGGACAAGGGGTGTAAGTACTACACCCCTATTTTTGAGCGAGTACTTGGACCAGGTTTACTTGAGAATAAACCCAGCTTGGGGTGCGCTACTAACTTGACGCACTTTGAAAAGGTATGGCCAATGCGCTGCCGTAAACGGTTTGAATGTCGATGTGCCATTTAATATTGACAGGAGGAAAATTGAAGAGTGGTGCGGCAACTTTAAATTTATCTTGACCCCGCAGTGTATCATTTTCTGTTTTGTTTACAGGAGGAAAAGAAAAAAAAAGAAGGAACAAGGAAGCGAAGTGTCAGGTTTTTAGACGGGTGAGTTTCGTTATTCAGGTGAGAGAAGGTACTTAAGAGGAAGTGGTGAGGGAAAAAACAGATAAGGCGAACCAGCACAGAAATGGGACAGCAGAGGGAGGAAGCTCGAAGCGCGTGGAACGAAAGCTCGCGCTGCAGAACCCGGCTCTTCTGGGATAAATCTCCACCTCTGCCCGTTTCAATCTGGATGAGCATCGTAACGGCGTGCGGTCGTGTATGGATACTGCGTGGTGCACGTTAAAGACCCCAAAACTAGCGGTTGTACTGCACTGGTTAGATTTCTTATTTTCAGCTGGGACACCGAATGCCCAATGAGGTTGTTTTAAATTCCAGATGTCTTGCCAATATGCACAGACAACAGAATTATATTTACAGCGGTGGGTTGCAACTGACTAACTAGTGAACTTAAGCTGGTCTCCCATTGGAGAATGAACACGCGATTCTTATACGGCGTGACGCTATGCGCACACGTAACTTAAGAAAACTGCCAGCCTGCCCAATTGAAAATATATGTAATCACCGAAATACTGTACATCAGAGACAAGTGCTAACACGGCATTGAATTCCAGAGCGACGAGTGATACACCGACGCACACGCCGGAACACTGCATGCCAGCTGTGAAGGGGACCGTTTACGACAAGGTGTTTCGTTTGACAGGGAAACCTTGTTCAGTACAATAGAATTGGGTGTACAACCGGTGCGGAGGCTTTGTGGGCCAGTGCGTTCGGCACGATGCTTACAAATTATCGAGGTGAACATATCTAGACTCTGAGACTGGGTTTCTCCAAACCTTGTATGTTAAAAATATGAGCGTTTTTGATTAAAATAAAGAAAGGATGAAAGTAGATAGGAATTAGATTTTTTTTTTGAATTTGGGGCAGCCATGGATTGTTGAAGGACTTACTGAGAATTCTCACAGCTCCTAAAATAATTTTTCCTTTATCGGTAAAAATACGTAGTTTTTAGAATGTCTACCGTAGAAAAGTATGTAAATTAGTATCCTGCAACGTGGTTGTAAATTGTAAATTGTAAAATGTAAATTAGTATCCTGCAACGTGGTCAAGCAGGAAGAATTACAGTTCCCACGAAGCACGGCGGCAGCGGCGGCGTAACGAAATTGGAGGGTGAGATGGGTGTTTTGAGATTTAAGAAAACCTGTGGGGACCGCAGACACAGAAAAATGCCGGATCCAATGTTTTAGCTCATATTGTCCGCAGAGGTACAGCCAGTCAAGAAGTTGACCAGGCCGCGCGTGTGGGCGTTTTTCCCTGCGGAGTGATTGGCCGGTGGCTTCTGTTCATAGCGCTCACGTCACGAGTTGGCCCACGCCTAGCACACACGGGGAGCCCACCACCGCAAGCAAACTGCCGTTATTATCTATGCCTCGGTCACAGTTGTCTGCGTGAAAGAACGGATGGGATTCCGGAAAAGGCAACGCTGCGATAACTGGTGGGAAGGCCAGTTGGAAAGAAGGATTGAAAACAAGCCGCATTGTTTACAGCGCATTGCAGCATTATGTTTTTATTCGTTCCCTGTTGATTCCTTTTTATGAGTGTTTACTATCTAAGACCTTGCAAATCCTCCTCTCCTTTCATTCAGACAACTGTGACCCCAGGTACACAAGTTAAGTAAAAAGTCACTAGATCCTGGGAAAGTGATGCCATCGCCTTCCCCCTGTACGTGTGCCCTACACTATTAGAATTTGCAAATTCTATAGGCATTGTGACATAATTAAAGTATTTTGAACACTTCGACAAAATCAAGTCGAAGTGTAGCTACAAGAGATGCAGACATATTCTGTTAGAAAAAACAATTTTTATCACCTCCTGAGCACTCCTGAGAGGGCTCCGAAGGCTTCACTTATTGCAGTGATGCATATTATAGCTTGTCTTTTCACGATAAAGTCCGAAGACCTTGAAGGTGGTTGAAAAAAAGTTGACATTTCCTAGAAATCTCAGAGGCTGACGTTTCGGAGACATAGCTTTTCTGCAAACGTTTCTTAAAGAAATGTCCGCTTCCCTTCTTTAGGCTTCCAGAAGGTTGGTTTCCTTGTTGAATGTAGCATTTTATTAGGTCTATTTCTAGGAAAAATAAGCATGATAGTTTTTTTGTTTTGTTTTTTTACATAGTTACGCAAACAGGAACGAACAACAATCACTTTGGCCAACTCACTTGATTACTGCTCCATATGTCGTGGACCATTTTCGGAACTGGTTATGGCTGAACTCCATGGTGACGAAGGGCACGTGCCCCACTAAGGGAAGGCCCCTGGGGCCCGGCGGCAGTTTGAAGCCTGGTGGAGCGATGTCCCTTTTGGACCAATGCAGAATGATGAAAATGATCATAACCGCGGCCGCCACTGTGTAGGCCTGCGTTTCCCATTCCGTGGAAGCCTCCTGGTACCCGACGAAAAGAACAGGAAAGAAAAGCTATTATGTGGATGAGCCCGTACGCAGAACCTCACACCTAGCTCCAGGCAAGCTTGACGAAAGGTTGTTCATATGGGATGGCCACAGTCATTTTTAAAGATTCAGGTTGTCGCCCGGTGGTTCTGTCTCGAACGAAAGAAACGCGAAAGACGGAGGGGCAGCCTCTCGAGCTTTTCACGCCACTGAATGGTCGTCAGCGGAAGCTCTCGCGTAACTTGCCATGCGCTTCGAGAGCTTTGACGGTGCCAAACCTTCCCCCCCCCCCCCCCCCAAAAAAAAAAAAAAAAAAAAAAAAATTGCGCCGATTTTTGTTTTTATAGCGGAGCTGTTAAGAGCTAGTTTCCCCAGGATCGTGTCCGCCAGCAAATAAATGTCGACACAACACTCCGGACAGGTACCGCCATCTATGAGCGAAGGTGGCAACTAGACCACCGACTTGCCGGTTGTCTTGTTGCCGCTGTCGCTCATAGATGGCGGCATCCTTTCCAACCTTTCCACTCTGGCTTGCCCACTTGCGGCCGGCCATTACTTCATTCCCACCATACTACAGCTTCGCTGGGACTCGTCAAGCTGCAGACCTGCAGCTTTTTTTTCCAGCGCCCCTGTCACAAATGTACCGCTTGTGGCAAAAATAAACGAATTTGAATTTGAATATAGTAAAAAGGCTGAAAGCTTTTTTTTTTCAGTTTAGCACAATCTGAGGCGCTAATCGCCGATCTTTTGCCACGTTGACAATGCGGCAAAGGCATCGCATTTCGAATGCTTCATGATAACACACAAAAATAATATATTACTAGTCGCACAGTTCTGTGCAAATCGTGATATTATTGTAAGAACGATCTAACGCTGATCTTTTTTTATTTTTTTTTGTGACATCACTGGGCATTCTAAACACTCATGTCGCATTCTAAACTCCGCGATTAGCGCCGAATGTGGCGAAAGACTGAAGCAAATATATGCGCGAATTTCATCTACCAAAAGAACCGGGACTCGGCACCATCACTACTCTCGAAGCTCATTACAGGCAGCACGAGAACTCCCGTTGACGACCGTTAAGTGACGAGAAGAGGGCAAGAGGCTGTAGTTCCGATGTTCGCGTTTTTGTTTTTTGTCTGTTGTTCAGGGCTGTACTCCTGTCTTCCGTCATTATTCTAATTTTATGTTTAGAGCAATGACGTAGGATATAAGTTATCGACATCTCATCATTAGCATCATCATCCTCATCATTTATTTTCCTCGAAGACCCAAAAGAGTATTATACAAAATAACAATCAACGCAACTTGAACAAACGCTAAAACACTGATATCCACATAGGAGGGTTATAAAGGAAGAGGGTAGTGGCAGCTGCAAATATGTTAGTGCTACTTATGGACACAATGTGGTCAGGTAGTGGGTTCCACTCTTTTATGGCCAAGGGTAATGTAGCCATTTGATAAGAGACGGTGGACGACGATATTTCACGTAATTTGCAATGGTCGAGAGGGGGGAATGTTCGGTGAGCGAGTGATAGCAAATATCCTTTGAGATGCTTGTTGTGAATATTCGATGAGGAAGAGAGGCGGGACACACTCCGGCGGAGAGAAATTGTGTTCAAGTTAGCTGACTGACGTCATCTTGATATGCTAGTATGTTGAGTGGTCGGAATAAATGAAACGAAGGGATCTATATTGAACGACTCCTAGGGTGTTATAATACTGAAGTATGATGGCCATGAAGATCATATTGAGAAAGATTATTCTAGTTTTGATCTTGCCAATGTAGTGTGGGTTAGTTGTTTTACTGAAGGTGTCGCAAGTGTGAGATTACGGCGTAAACGTTCGAGTGTACGGTTAGCATTAACAACGACCGAGGTTATGTGAGTAATCAATGATAGATCATAAGCAAGATGGATTTGTAAGTATTCGTATGATGGACTAGGCGTCACTGGGGTTATAGCAAGGTAATACGAAAATGTTGCAACGAGTGAACGGCGTGAAATTAGATCGTTTTACGTTTATTGAAATTTATAGTCGTTTGCCATTTTTGACACCACTGAGGTATTTAGAGTGAGATTGTTTTGTGAAGTTAGTTGATCATTATTTTGAATTAACAGGATTGTAAACTAAACAGCCATCGGCAAATAAGCGCACTGAAGAAGAGATGTTAGTATGCAGGTAATTAATGTAGATTAGAAAGAAAACAGGGCCAAGCACCGTCCCCTGAAGGACGAGACGTTGTCTTACAGGTCTGTGATTTCACGTTGTTTATCAGGAATTGAGAGAACCAGATGAACAAAGTAGAGAGCTGGGCTAGTTGGTGGTGTAGGTGTAAGAGCGCGTAACAACGAAGACTAAGGGAAGGTACACACAACACAGGACGAGCGCTGACTGGCAACTAAATGTTTAATAGTGAAAACAGAAACCAAGAAAACGTAAAAGGCACACTCAACCACGCATGCGCCACCCAAATTGTCTCGTCACAAAAGGGATTTATCGATCAGCGTATCGCTACCCCCCCCTTCCCCCTCCCCCCCTTCCTCCATTCATAGTTAAAAGAAAGAGCATTTCTTTTTCCGATAGCGCCACCGATGGATTGCTGACACATTCCCTCCGTAATTAACAATGTGGAAGACTTCTGCCACTTAGTTGCAAGTCAGCGCTCGTCGTGTGTTGTGTGTTCCGTCTCTTGGTGTTTGTTTTTACGCGCTTTTACACCTACACCATGCTAAAGACCAGTTGACAACAGAGGGGTGTATATTAAGATTTCTAAGCTCCAGTAAAAGACATTGATGAGGAAGCTTGTCGAATGCCTCTAAAAAGACTGTGAAAATAGCGTCCGTTTGAACATAAGAATCGAAGCCTGAGTGAATGTCGGAGAGAAATGCTCATAATTGGGTTTCACACGAGTATAACTTATGAAATCTATGCTTATGTTCTAAAAGGAGGTGGTGTGAGTCTAGATAGTTTACCATGTTCGCGTATATTATATACTGCAAAGTTTAGACTGGTGACCAATAAGAGAAATGGGGCGGTAATTACTGATCAGCTAACGGTCACCCGTCTTGTGGACGGGGATTACATTTGTAATTTTCTAATATGGTGTTTCAGAAAATCTGAGCGACTGGGAGAATGTGTTGGATAGAAAAATGGAGATCTTTTTAATGTTTAATAATACAATCGAGTCAATTTGGTCACTTCAGGAACAAGATGACACCTTCAGTTGGTCGATGGACTTCAGAATACCAGCATGATTAATTAGGATAGGACTCATATGAGGGTGAGAAAACTTGCCACGAGTCAGGAATGTTAAACACCATAGGTAAAACGACTAAAATTACTGCTAAGACAGTAACTGGCGCTCCGTGTTTTCGGATAAATCTGATAAAATCCGAAAAACACAAGCCGGTAAGGTTTTTGACAGTTCGGATTTATAATAAAAACTCCACCTTCGAAGCCACAATAGCAAACAACAACAACAGCAAAAAAAAAAAAAACAAACAAAACAGACAATATCTTACGAATAAAGTTTGTCAGAGCACAGGGTTAGCGGTCCTGAAAAAAAGGCAAATTTTTTTTTTTTTTTTGTCTTGGTCTAACTTCGTTGTGACGCCGTACTTTTGGATCAAGGCTAAAACCAATCTTCCGGTTTCCAGTTTGGACCGCACTATGTGTGCTACTTTGAGAGAGACTGGGGTGTGTCTTTATTACAGTGGAAGACGTGAGCCTGTAGATTTCACAAGATGGGGAGGGCTGCTTAAGATTTTATACATCCACGTGTTTGGCTATTGAAAAGTACTGACGTTTATTGAAGTAACACGTTTTAAAGATTTTTTGTACGACATATGCACTGTCAATCGCAAGGGGGCAAATGCCCAATGCAGTGGCAAAAAGATATTTGGATACCGGTTATTTTTTATGCACTTAGTTTGCGGTTTTGTCCAGAAATTATTAATTTTACTTAAAAAAGAAGCAAAGTAAAATAAACTCACAACATATTAATTAAAAACACCCTAGTAAACCCCGAATTTACAACCAAAATAAAGTCCGAAAAACACTCTCCGAATTTCTAAAAAAAAAAAAAAAGAAAGAAGAAACTTTTTAAACACGAAATCTCAGATATAACATCGCGGGTCGGGTTGGAGAGTCCCACAATTCGAGTTTAAATAATGGACGAGTACAAGAACCTCGAGAAAATCACAGATTTACATAATTAAAGAACGTGTTAAAAATCAGCAAACAACATAATAGGTAAAAACAAAAGTAATACAATGGAAAGCTGCGACTTTTGCTCCTCCCTACTTAAACTTCTCATCCAAATATATATATATATATATATATATATATATATATATATATATATAAATAAAAGAAAGATTTACTGGCGTACATTGAATGCTAGAAAGTGCTGTCGGTGGTCGCGCATGAAGGTGTATCGCACAGTGCTTGTCACACTCGTCTACAACGCGGGAGCACTCGGCTCTCCGGCGAGCGCTTGACTGGAGGCATACGCGGCAACTAATCTAGTCACGGCATGGCCTCCGAGATCCCGGAGGCCATGGTCACAGGGTTAACATGGAATGATCCGCTCCTGGGGTCCACTGCCGCTGAATGCGTAGAAGGCTTCTCGCGTGCCTTTCGGAAACTCCAGATAGCCATGGCAACGGAAAAAAAAAAGCACGAGAGTTTATCAACAACGTTACGGAATCGAGGAAATAAACAGGCGGGGGAGGAAAGCGAGCTGTAGATACGCTCAGGATAGCGCGGAGCAGATATGTGAACCCAAGTGGGCGCGAACCGTTCGGTGGTGCTCACGGGGAGGTTAACAAGGACACTCCCCCTCGAGCGAACCATTACATGTTGCCCACGTGACCAGATAAGTTGTCGCGAATGCCATCAGTCTAGCGATCGCCGGAAAAAAAAAAAGCCACGTGCTCCCACGTTGTGATTAGCACTGTATATCTAAATAGAAAATATAGTCGACCGTGGCAAGTGTTCTTCTCGTGTAATTATACTCAACTATTAAAGCAGCCGGTCTGAAATTAATTGTTAGCGCATTTCCAGCAATGGTCGCCTTCTTTTTGAAAGCGCGATAATAGATTTACGGGTTCTGGTTCGGGAGGACAAACATAGGTTCGGTCAGTGTATTTTTTACCGCACTCGGCGAAATTTAGAAAAAAAAGCGCCTCTTGGCGAAACAAGCTCCATGCGTGTTTAGGAGAATTGAATAGTAGGGAAACAACAGCTCACATTATTTACCCAGTTAACCTATTTAATGTAAACCGGAAATTTCTTGTAAAAAAAGTTACGCCATTGAATAAATGTTTTGTTTGCTCTTGTGACTTCCATTTGAGACCACAAAAAATATACCACTGAGAGCAGGAAACATTCACGACAAACGCCAGCTTGTTGTAACAAAAAAAATAAAATAAATAAAGCTATAGAAGTTCTTGAAAATTCAAGAGCAGAAAAGATTTACGACAGCATGTCAATTTTATTCTTCTAAGAAAACACGTAAAATGTATTTAATCCGTCATTACGTATGCTGTTTACGATGCCTTTAATCTGTAGATATTTATGAGAAACCAGCTGTTCCCATTATATCTAAATACATTTGTGATTGAACATTAAACTATTTGTATTATTTTTTCTATGCTACCAGAGAGAAAAATTGGTTTATTGAAAACTGAAGAGGTTATCCCGCGGAGATTGGCAGGATGTCTATATAGCTATGCTAGCAGAATTCTTCATGAACCGAAGGCAGAAGATACAAACACGCATAACTGCAAATAATGAAAATGCCTAAACGTGCAATGAATTCAATTACTCGACAAGTTACTACTATCGGGGAAAAATGAAATACGAACAGAGGAGCGCCTGGCTCTCAGTGCAGGCTGCGCCGCCTGGAAAGGAGCCTAGGGGCGAGGGTGTGTGGCCCTCTCCGATGTTTATACGCCCCTCGCTAGGCGCTTCCCAAGCTTCGGCATTGCGCCTCTTGGTGCGCTGAAAGCTGTCACCACTATCGCTACTCGCTCGACATCATGCGGGGCGAGGAAGCTCGCCGCTAGTAGCAGCCTTCTTTGCCTTGCATGCGTCGAGCGAGCAATGATAGCGGTGATAGCTTTCAGCGCACCAAGAGGCTCAATTCCGAAGCTTGGGAAGTGCCGAGTGAGGGGCGTATATACATCGGAGTAGGCTACGTACCCTCGCCCCTAGGATCCCTTCTAGGCGGCGCATAGCGAGAGCCACGCGCTCTAGAGCCAGTGACAAATGCGCCTTGTGCACATACACTAGTAGCTCTCAATCCCCCCCTCCAAATCTTCATTACAACGCGCACACACGCGCATGCACACATACACACACGCGCACGCACACACGTGCGCACACACACACGTGCGCGCACACAAACACACACGCACGCACGCACGCACGCACGCGCACACAAACACTACGCGCTCCCCTGTTCGTTTGTTTTCTATTTGTTTTCTATCAAACAGTGACACATGTTTCATACTTTTAATAGGAAATACACTTTTCTCAATAGCAATCTTCCTGCCTTTCCCTTTTGGTAGGGTTTCTAAACGTAGTCTAAAACGCGCGAAAGAAAAACTCGGCAGGATAAGTAATTGTTATCCTCAAGTCATTTCCATAATGACTTGAGGATAACAATGACTTGAGGATGCCAGCATAAAAAAAAAAGTTCAATTGACCTCTAAATGATAGAGAAACAAAAGCTTACGGTGGATAGTAAATTTGAGCATGACACTTTACCCTTTAGAAGTTTGTGCAAAATTATAAATCGTGAGGATTTATTTTTTTAGGAAAGTATCTCCATACCTATTTTACTCAGCAGCCAAATGTAGTCATTACAATATTTATATCCGAGGTATAGGTCATAAATGAAACCCATAAAGCGTCTCTGGACTCTTGATACGCTAAGATTTTTAAGACTAAAGTGAATTCCAGTAGTAAAAGCAAACACCAATTTTGGGCGTACAAAGCAATTATGCAGCACAAGCGCCGATGAGAGTATTTCGAACTGTCGCGTAATTCTGGACACCATGTCGATCCAAAACGCGGCGTCACATAACACTTCAAGGTCTCCTATGACAGATGTTATTTCTCTTTGGGACACGTTGAATATGTAAAGATATGCATATACTACGTTTTCGACTAAATGTGATAACTTCAGTTTTTGTTTTTCGGATGTAGTTTTATACAATTATTTGTGCATGGCATATTGACAACATCGATATCAATCTGCATTTCCATGCCGCCACAGTATCCTTCAATCTTGAGTCGCAATTATAAGGTTATTAAAGCTGGCAACCTTCATGCAACTGTTTTTTCAGCTGTGCCGGGTCATTCATATTCCCCGTAGTATCACGCTAGATTCCTCGTTTCCTGTGTTAAGTTACGTATATACGTGAGGCAGTTTTCGCTAAACACCAAAAAGGAAGTCTTGACCACGCTTGACCTCATGGTGAAGGCAATCGCCCATACCAGGCATCCACCCCTCTAGCCGGCGACCTTTCGGCGTGACTAGCTCGTAACGCTAGCCCATGAAAGCGCCGACTCCAGCAGTGCCAGCAGCTAGGTCCAGCTCCTTATGTTATTTATCTGCGGTTGAACAGGCGCCCGACGCGTACGCCCCTCGGCTATAGTGTCACCGTTAGGATCACGACAAACAGCAGCCCTACATCGTTGTGAAATCGAGAAAGGCAGAAACTGATTGGACAAAACAAACACGGTAAACCAGTCCGTGACGCGTTCCACATACCGACGTATCGGCGTTATGATTTAGGCTGTAGACTCCCGAGATACAGAGGCGAAACGGAAAGCAAAAGCAACAACACATAAGAGCCACCACCGACACGCATTCACGCCCACACCAAAAAAATGTCCAGGAACTTTCTTTCGACTTCTTGGAAGAATAGGATTTGTCCAGGCCAAGCGAAGCTACATAAATAAAGCGCCCACTTACCGCGGCGACGTGAGCCGTCTCTTCTGGATCCATTTTGTTTTGTGCGTCTACTGATGCGTTGCGGCCCACCGCTGAACTTGGGACAGCTGCCAAACCTGCTCCAAGGTCGTTGACGCACTCGAGCCGGCAAGATTTCCTGCGTCACGTGGTTCCGATGAGATTTGCCGAAGGGCCGAGCGCACTCTTTCACCGCCTTCTGTTTTCCTCGTCTAGACGCATGAAGGGCTGCGTCGGTTTGCCGTTACGATTCAGAGTGCCGCCAGTGCCGCGCGTTATCCTCGTTCAGGCAGTCGAGAAGGGGGTTGTCGCCTTGCAGCTGTTCTGCACGCAGTAAGCAGAAAGACGGACTGCAAGAAGGAAGGCTGATTCGCCCTCATTCGTCCTCTACCTCGCTAGACAATGAGGCCAGCCAGTATCCAAAAGCACTACACACGCAAAAAAAAAAAAAAAAAAAAAAATACAAGCGATGGTATAGCTCCGTTGTTAGGAAGCGGCAAATACCTCCTGACTGCGCACGTTTGGTGATCTGTCATTCTTATTTGTCACGTTCTTGTTTGTTCGGCGGATCTTGTCGTTGCCGGCTGTCACAGCAATATGCCTCGTCAATAAAAAAATAAAAATAATCTCAGCTCACTAACTACGGGCACTATGTCGAGTAGGACAATTTGTGATAGTTCAATTTGGCACTGTGAAACGTCGAGTGGGCGCTGATTACGTAGACAAGTTTTAACTAAACCCTTGGGTGGCCTAAACCAGGGTTGGGCAGTATCGCGATACAAATGTATTGCGGTAGTATCTTAGAAATACATTTCGTATCTGTATTTTTGTATCGCGATACATTTTTTTCATCAGTATCTGTATTTCTGTATCGAAATACATTTCGAATGTTTCTTTGTATCGTGATACAATCAGGGTAAAATGTATTTCGTTACATTTCTTGAGAAATACTCTCCCCCCCCCCCCCCCCCCCCACCAAAAAATGCTAGGGCATTGTTACCATGCTGCCCAAGGTTCCTTCCGATTCTCCAAACTATTTTTCTATGCGTCCTCTTCTCTCTTCTTACAACTGTTGCGCAGTCGGGGACTCGAACCATATGGCGTACCAGGAGTGTAGTGAGAGCACCTTGTGCCGTAGGTCCTTAGGTAGGGGTTTCTTGAGTCAATGTTTGCGGGCATCCAAAGCCCGCTGCTAACCGCCTCTCTTGCCTTAGCGTACACAGTACACCCATCCGGCAAAGCTGAGTCACAGTCCGTTGCAGCACGAGCGTGGCGGTGGTTGACTTGAAATAGTAGGATAACTCGCGCAGTGAAGTTGAACAGAATGCGAATGCGTCTGCGACTACGCCCGTAATATTGCACGGCTCAAGGGTACGTTACCAGCCGACGTGAAAGTGACCCGCTCCTCTGGTGATCCGAAACCCCGGATGGAGGTCAAACGTAGCCTCGCTGTGCCGACCCAGACTTCGTACGCCTGCGACTCGTCTCGAGCGCGCTGTTTCTCGGAGAGCTCGCACCTCTGCCGGCAATATCAGGTCGCAATCCACGAGGTCTCTATTTGGACTATGCAGGGCGAAACTTGATGACTGCAATCCATGCGTCGGTGACAGAGGGTCAGCAGGAAGTACCTTCGCAACAGGGAAACCACCGTATCGTTTTCTCAACCGTAACGGAAGATAAGATATGCATTCAAGGATGCTTCATGTCGTCCACCATTCTCGAAAATTCCAAATGACACGGCCTGCACGATCTTCAACGATGTAACCTACAACGAAAGTATGTATTCTCCTTTCATACAGCAGCGTGTTAAAGTTTCATGTTCAAGGCCACACCTACAGATAAAGAATACCAGTTCATTCCACCGTGACGTCATGTGATAAATGTTGACAGGGGCGTCCATATATGACATTGGCGTGGTGACGTTTTGATGGGATTTAGGATGACAGAGAATTTATTTAGAGGTCGAAGTCTTTTCACATATCCCTCGTCAGACAGACAGGATGTCAGGGAAAGAACCACGGTTAGTCCTTGATGGAACGTTTTTTTGAGCCCATTGAAGACTCCTCGTCGTCCGAAATCACTACCTCCAAGGCAAAGTGCCAAGCCTACGGGAAAGTAATTTCAGGATCAAAAACTTCCACTTCCAACTCCAAGCTTCATCTAATTTGGTCTCAAATAAATTTGAAAAAATGTATTGCAGCTAGACGGTGGTATTAAAAGCACAAAAGACTGAGAAGAGAAGGAGGGGACAGGACAGAGCGCTCTGTCCTGTCCCCTTCTTCTCTTCTCAGTCTTTTGCGCTTTTAAAACCACCGTCTAGACGTTCAACCAACTAGCCCCCCAATTAATTCTGATATATTGCAGTATCACTATTTCTGTATTTGTATTTCTGCCCTCCCTAAATGTATTCCTGTATTTGTATTTCTGAATACTTTTTGCCTCTTTTTAAAATGTATTTCCGATACGTATAGCGATACACTTTTACAGATATATATCAGTATCAGTATTTTAGCTACTATTTTAAAATATCCCAGTATTTGTATTTCCAAATACATTTTTGAGTATTTCTGCCCAACCCTGGCCTAAACTAACACTCTTCTGTATATCTAATCCTTTGTAGTAATTATGACTTCATTTGTGTAATTCTTCGCTTTATAGAGTCTACACTGACACCCCAGTTGTATTTGCTATTGTCTATTCCATCGTGGTGTGTGTATTCGTTTTTAAGTTTGATATCATTTAAAAACGGACCCAACTCTCTGCTGTGTCCGTCCTTCTGTTTGTAACCAATGAAGCGAAGCCGCAGAGTACTAATAAAATGGATTAATGAAAATATTAATAAAATTTTGAACGATCCCCATGGAGAGTTGAACGCAGGGCCCTAAGATTCCGAGACCGACGCTCAACCACTGTGCCGAGGGGGAAATTGGTATACTGGTGGTTATTAAATGCTGTAACATTCCTTTCGCCAACCGCAAGAACAAGCGGACGGCTTCGACTTTTATGCATATATATTGTCTAAGTCTGTGAATGAACCGATTTGTTTGATAGAGTAAGTGAAGGTCGACTATTAGCGTCAGCCAGACTGTTTGAAGCAGCGTTTTCCCACAGACGACAGGCACGGGCCTTTCTCTCATGAGCACCACCTCCTTCTTTCTAATAGTTAACTCCACGTACAAAAAAAGGCGGTCCACCGGCCATAGAGGTCATGGGGTTTGACAGTTGTAGGATTTCAGATTTCCGACGTGGACGATGCCAGCACAGCTACTACGGTTGCCACGTGGCGGGAGATCCGGGGTCCCTTCATAATTCGTGGATGCTAACTGGCGAAAAACTCTGAAAGAGCCTCTGTAGTGTTTTTACAACTTTTCGCATCTTTCGCATTCGCGGGAAAGAGTCCAGAGGAGGCTTTCGTCACCAATTTTGTAAGGCAGTCGGGTGTGGTGCTCGGCGTGGCGAATCATTTGTGGCTACTGTGACTTCATGGTCCGGATGCGGGACAGTTGCCGAGCTTCTTAGGCACGGTAGAGAGCATCTTGGGCATATGTTTTGAGAGAAGACTCGTGGATGTGTGGTAAGAGGAAATCAATGGTGGACAGCGCTTCTTACGTATATAAAATATAATACGCAGAATAGCCTGTGGTGGCCTGATGGCTGGTGCAATAGCCGCATGTAACGTAAGGCAAAATAAAGTCCCAGCTGACGTGCATTCTGCACCATACATGTAGATCTTGTCGGCTAGAGGTTTATTGAAGCGTCCAGCCAATCCATTTGTTTAGGGATGATAGGCAGTAGTAACGTAGTGAACTGCGCTGGCGAGGCGCAAGACCTCCCGAAGGAGGTTTGCAACAAATGGTGTAACTCCATCTTTGATGATGGACTGTGGTCCTGGAGCGCCATGTCTGTGGAGGATGGAGTGTAGATAGAAATCGGCTGCATGGAGGGCCGTAGCAGCAGGGAGCGCTTTGGTTTCGGCGTATCGTGCTAAGTGGATTTGTTTATATGACTACTTTGGGCCCAACTTGACGTGAAAACAAGAATTTAAATGGCACCGTCCGGCTTTAGGGCTGACATTTTTAATAGAACAAGAGACCAGGTACACTGTCGTTTCCGTTGCTCAATTCCCTCAGGAATTAACCAAGCTCAATATGTTTCTAAAAAAACAATCAGTTAATTTGACAGTTCCTGCTTTCCTGAAGATTTTGTTTTACAACACTATAATTAAGAACAAACACTTGTGTTTTAATGTTGAAATCTTTTTGACGCCTAAATTCTCGAGATCGTAGCTTTATCTTTGGCAGTTGCTCCTGCTGATCGAGTTTGCGCAACCGAGATGCATCTTTCAACGAATATCTCGCGCTTGGAGACTTGGTTGGAATCGTTTTACATAAAAAAAAGCCGGGAAAGCAAGAAATAAAGCGAAACAAAAGGCAAATGGACACAGATAAAATAAACTATGTGAATAGGAGAAAAGAGCAGAGCTACTTTTGAGCGGAAATGAATCGACGAGATGAAATCATTATGGCGGATGCCATGTCGTCCGCTCAAAACATAAGAGTCGGGACTCGTAACCGTTTGCCTGCTGGCCGTGTTCCAACGAGTCGCGGGCCGCATGTGGCCCGAACCCGCGTGTTTCAGACCCCTGCACGAAGGCGTCATTTCGGAGTAGATGGACCGAGTAACATACCGGATGAAAATTTCATGACGTTTTGGAACCTATGAGGGTGTATTATGTATAGAGTACTTCGTGAACCTGATAAGCAATTTTATTGGACACAAGCGAGGACCGCCTCGTGGTAACTGAAGAAAACTTCAAGAATCGCGAGCCCAAGTTTGAAATTCAGCGAAGGACGAAACTGCCTGTGGATGCATAAACCGTTCTCTGACGTTGGTGTGGCTACCTGAACGTCGTATGCAATGTTATTGGACACAAACTAGCACAGCCTTCCGGTCCCTCAAGAACACTTCCCAAATCGCACACCCAAGTATCAGGCAGGTCTATCTAATTTCAAGCCGTGGTTTCGCCGGCTTAACACCCACCTTAGGTTTCTCGGTTTCATCGCCCAAAAATATTTCTGACATAATTAGCAAAAATGCGTTTTTTATTGCTTCCATTGTTAGCAGTCTCACATTTATGTTTCTACCTGCTCTCGGTAGGAATGCAAGTACAGTAATTGACTTACTGTAATTTAATTACAATTTTGGTAATTTGTAATTGTAATTAATTACTTTCTTCTATACGGAATTGTAATTGTAGTTTAATTTCTTTCTAGCGTCGGTGATTGCAACATTTTCGGCATAATTAAAATTAATTTTGCAAAATTTGACGGCGCTGACGGAACCTCTCTGAAAGCCTCAACGATAGCCTCCTCTATACTCACAATGCCTGGCAGTTCGACGAGGG